ATTTTTCTCTCTTTGTATTTCTGAGTTAATGCAATTAAGGCATTACAATGAGTTTTTATTTTACTTTATTTCATTTCATGTTATCAAGACATGGTCTCATGTAACCCAAGCTGACCTTAACTCCCTATATAGCTGAGGATGATCTTCAACTCCTGATCCTTTTTGCTAAGATTACCAGGATGCACCACCACATTCAGTTTTAGAGTAAGCTTTAAAAATATTTTATTTTATGTGTATGAGTGTTTTGCCTGCACATATAAAAGTCCCCTCTAAAATAAGCTTTTAAAAATTACTTATGAGATGGAAAAGATGGCTCAGTAGTAAAGAGCATTTATTGCTCTTGCAGAGGACCCAGGTTCAGTTCCCAGCACCCGCATCATGTGGCTCACAACCACCTGAAACTCCAATACCAGGGGTCCCGTGCCCTCTGTTGGCCTCTGCAGGCTCCAGGCACATGGCACATATACATGAATGCTGGCAAATATTCATGCACATAAAGATAAGAATAAAACTTTATTTTGTTGTTTTTTTATCATTTTGCCTTTTTGAGATAGGGTCTCCACATAGCACCAGCTGGCCTCACTATGTAGACCAGGCTGGCCTTGAACTCACAGAGATATGCCTGCCTCTGCCTCCCAAATGCTGGGATTAAAGGCATGTACCACCATGTCCAGCAAGAATAAAGCTTTAAAAAGAAAGTTGGACATGTGGGGCTAAAGGGATGGCTCAGCAGTTAAGAGCATTTGCTGATTGTGCTGGATAGCTTTAGTGTCAACTTGACACACCTGGGTTGAGGGAGCCTCAATTGGGGAATTGTCTCTATTGACTGGCCTGTGGCCATGTCTGGGGGGCATCTTCTTGATAAGTGTGGGAGGGCACAGCCCACTGTGGGTGGTGCCACCTCTGGGCAGGTGGGCCCGTGTTGCATAAGAAAGCAGGCTGAGCAGGGGTCAGGGGAGCAAGCCAGTAAGCAGCATTCCTCCATGGCCCATGCTCCAGCTCCTGCCTCCAGGTTCCTGCCCTGAGTTCCCACCTTGGGCTTCTGGATGAACTGTGACCCGGGAGATGTAAGACAAATAAACCCTTTCCTCCCCAAGTTGTTAGTGGTCAGAGTGTTTTGTCACAGCAATGGAGAAACAAACCAAAACACTGATCTTGCAGAGGACATAGGTTTTGGATCCCAGCACACATTATGTCTGCTCACAATTGCCTGTAACTCCAGTTCCAGGAAATATGACACCCTTTTCTGGACACTTGGACACCAGGCAAAACATTCATACACATAAAAATAAAATAAATCTTTGAAAAAATAAAAGCCAGGTGGCATATGCCTTTAATTCCAGAGGCAGGTGGATCTCTGTGAGTTCAAGGCCAGCCTGGTCTACATACCAAGTTCCAGGCCAATTAGTGAGACCCTGTCTCCAAAACAAGGGGGCTGGGGCAATAGCTCAGTGGTTAAGAGCACTGACTGCTCTTACAGAGGACCCAGGTTCAGTTCCCAGCACCCACAACCATCCATAACTCCAGTTCCAGAGGATCCAATGCCCTCTTCTGATCTCCCAGGGCATTGCATGATATAGGTACAACGAATGACATGGGTGCGGTATGTAGGCAATATACTCATACACATTAAAAAATAAAGATAATTTGTAGCCGGGCGTGGTGGCACATGCCTTTAATCCTAGCACTTGGGAGGCAGAGGCAGGTGGATCTCTGTGAGTTCAAAGCCAGCCTGGTCTACATAACGAGTTCCAGGACAGCAGCAGCTACAGGGAGACCCTGTCTCAAAAACATCAAAATAAATAAATAAATAAATAAAGATAATTTTTAAAAAAAGAAAGAAATTACATGTGTGGTAAATTATTTTGTTAGTAAGATTCATTTCAGGGAAGCAAAGTATTTGGTATATCCCTGGCTCAAGGCTGATACGGTAGAGAACCACTAAAGTTAAGCATGATATAAAATACAACCTCCATTCCACAGGGGTCCCTTTCAGCGCTACTGGTAACTGAGGAGGGCAACACAAAGGGATAAGTGATGTTTGTGTTCAGATCCCTGGAGCCTAGCATGGGGCCTGTTAGGTAATAAGCCTGCACTGTTGGCTGCAAATAGTCACTTCTGTAGCAGGCACATTCTGCATTCCCTGGAAATGCAGAGAAAAAGAGCAATTAGCCTGGGCTGTAGGAGCTGAAGAAGGCTTCTCACAGGAAGAGACGTTGGCACTGGGTGTTTTCCAGGTCTGAAATACTCCTAAGGTAATCCTGCTCTGTGGGGATCAGCTCATGCACTAAGGAAGTAGAGGTGAAGGCTAGGCTGGGGAGGTGAAGAAAAGCAGACATGGGATGGGAAACAGAAACTACAGACAGGCATGGGGCTATGTCTACATAAAGGGATTCCCTCGTTGTAAACTGAAAATACCTTAAGTCGAAAATGCACTGAGTACACCTAACCTAGAAAACATCCTCGTTTAGCAACACTGTACATTGTAGAGGAGCAGTTGTTCACCTCATGGTGCCAGGGCTAACTGGGAGATGCGGCTCACTGCTCAAGATGCTGCAGTAGGAGGATCACTGAAGTTGGAAGTCAGCTAGGCTATGTAAAAAAGGGGCGTGGGGGTGTGGCTGTCGAGATAGCCCAGTAGTTAAGAAAGCTTGTGGTGGGTCAGGCGCGGTGGCCCACACCTTTAGTCTCAGCAGAGGCCTATAATCCCAGGATTCAAGAAGCTGAGACAGAAGGATAATGAGCCCAACCTGAGCTGTACAGTAAGGCCTTGTGTAAAGAAAAAAAAGAGGAGGCTGGAGAGATGGCTCAGCAGTTAAGAGCCCTGGTTGCTCTTGCAATGGATTCAAGTTCAATTCCCAGCATCCACATGGCAGCTGACAACTGTCCAGTTCCAGGGAAATCCAGTGCCCTCTTGTGACCTCCGAGGGCATTGCACTATGACACAGATGCAGTTACATACATGCAGAAAATACACTCATACACATAAAAAAAAAGTTGATTGTTGATTACATTCACATAACTTTTATAACAGCATATTGTTGATGTTCTATTGCATAATTTTTTTGATCGGTTTTTTTGAGACAGAGTCTCACACTATAGCCCAGGTTGGCCTTGAACTCCTGGCAATCCTCTGCCTTAGTTTCCCAAGTACTGAGATTACAGGTGTGAACGACCACACCAACCTTTATTATTGTTAACAATTTATTGTGATAAATTTATAAATTAATCTTTATCATGGATACATATGAGTAAAAACCTAGTATCTACAGGGTTTGGTATGTCCATAATATATACATACTCAAGCTCCAGGGGATTTGATCCCTCTGCCTTCCACATACTCCCTCACATGTATATTCACACACAGACCTACACACAAATACACATAATTAAAAATGGGTTTAAAAACCTCATGAAACAAAAAAACAGATTTTTTTTCTCTTTTTGAAGCAGGGTCTCCCTGTAGTCCCAGCTGTCCTGGAACTCACTATATAGACCAGGCTGGCCTTGAACTCACAGAGATCCGCCTACCTCTACCTCCCAAGTTCTGGGACTACAGGCATGCGCCACCACACCCGGCTCTAAAAAATACCAGATTTTACATAAATCTGAACCAGAAAAGGAGAGAACTAAAATGAAGCATACTGTTAGCATTAAAAAATGGAGGCTAGACTTTAAAACACCTCAGAAGTCCAGGGAATAAGACAGCTGGTTGCAGGTTGAATATGGGGTGAGTTCCAGGGAGACCTTCCGTAGGCTAAATTACACAGGCCTCGGAAGTTAACAGAAGTCGATTTGTAGACAGCCTTCAGCAGCTCTGAAACAAATGAGGGACACGCATGCCTGAGTTGACCCAGGGGTGGGGTATTACATGAAAATTCATGGAAGAATGTCGCCTTAGGCCCTAAAATTTAAGGAATGAGATGCCAATTCTGGGAGAAGTGGCGTGCAAAAATTAAAAATTGGGACTATGCGTAGCACTTTCCAATTTTTTGGGGGGGGGAGGGGTTGAGACAAGGTCTGCAGCTGGCCTGGATTCCCTATGGACACCAGGCTTGGCCTGGAACTCCCAGAGATCCGCCTGCCTCCACCTCCTGAGTGCTGGGATTAAAGGTGTATGTCCCCACGCCTGTCCTAATTTTTTTTTTTTTTTTTATTTTATATGTATGAGTGTTTTGCCTGCATGTGTAAGTGCACCCATCTTGGGCAATGCCTAGGTCCTCTGCAAGAGCAGTCAGTGTTCTTAACCGTTGAGCACTTTTTTTTTTTTTTTTAATGTCTTTTTGAAGCGGGGTCTCCCTTTAGCCCCAGCTGTCCTAGAACTCACTATGTAGACCAGGCTGGCCTTGAACTCTGAGATCCGCCTGCCTCTGCCTCCCAAGTGCTGGGACTACAGGCGTGCGCCACCACGTCTGGCTGAGCACTTTTAAAGATTAAAGCTGTCTGCTAACACCCAGTAGGGCTCAGGAAAGCCCCTGTGGGGTGAGCGCATTTAGTTATTGGATCTTGGTCACTTACAGCAGGTATTCCCCTGCAGGCTGAGGATGTTGATTCCACTATTTAACACTACTGCAGCCTTCCTCCGAGGTCCTTACTTCTTCCAACAGGAATCTTCCCCGTCAGTAAAATGCTAATACTCCTCCACACAGCGTTAATGTGAGGATGCAGTGAGGTCATTAACGCAAAGCTGCGGACTATGCGGGCCATGTAAAAAAAACCAGTTCTACTTTGTTACGTAGTCTACTTGGGTCCTTGACAATTCCTAGAGATGTTTGTGTGTGGATGAGGTGCTAACCGGCCCCCTCTCCCCTGCACCGCACAGCAGTGCAAAGTACTTCCACACTTGGCTCCACACCTGGGAATGCTGATGACTTCGCCGGGTTTTCTGAGCGCGCGTGGGAGGGACAAGGCGGCGAATCGTCTGCGCATCAGCAGAAGGCACCGGCTGCAGTAACACTTGCCGGCCGCTAGGGACCAAGGGAGCTCCCGGGTTCGCCCCGCCCCGAGGGGTCAGAGGTCGGCGGATGGCGAAGAAGAACCCGCTGCTAGAGGCGGAGACCGAGGCTCCTAGGACTATGGCGCCGCCGCAGCGCTGTACGCTGTGCCGCCAAACTTTCTTCTGTGGTCGCGGACACGTGTACAGCCGCAAGCACCAGCGGCAACTGAAGGGGGCTCTGGAGCGGCTCTTGCCGCAGGTACGGACGCAAGGGCGGGGGTGCCGGGGTGCAGGCGGCGCGGCAAGGGCCCGGGAGCTGAGGCTGCAGGGTCCCCGCGGGGTCCTGTGTTCCGCAGGTGGAGGCCGCCCGCAAGGCCATCCGCGCCGCCCAGGTGGAACGCTACGTGCCCGAGCACGATCGACGCTGCTGGTGCCTGTGCTGTGGCTTCGAGGTGCGCAAACACCTGAGCCACGGAAACCTGACGGTGCTGCACGGGGGTCTGCTGGAGCACCTGGCCAGGTGAGAGCTGGACACGCGCACACACACACGTATACGTGTGGGGTGGAAGGTTGGAGTGGAGGAGAGGAAGGTAGCTTCTGTGACTCGTCGGGTAGATGGATTCATCATCACCTTACCAACTTTGGAGGGTAGAAGGGTCTGAGTACTGCCATGGTTCCAGTTGTGTGCGTGGTCTTGCTGGAAAAGCCAGTTTGCTTTCTGCCTACCACTTCACACTTTGGAAGAAGGGAGTCTGGAGATCTTGATTGAGTATTCCTCTTTGCCTTGCCCAGAGCAAGGTAGCAACCCAGAGGCCAGTATGCATTACTTACCGATGAAACGCTCAGAAAGCCAGTACTATTTTACTGTCTTAATGTCTGACTAAAATTAATTGTCTTGGGGCTGGAGAGATGGCTCAGCTGTTAAGAACACTGACTGTTCTTGCAGAAGACTCGGGTTCAAATCCCAGCACCCACATGGCAGCTAACAGCTGTCCATAACTCCAGTTACTCTGTAACTGCGGGTATTTCACGACATGGGTGCACTTACCTACATGCAGGCAATACACACATACACATAAAATAAAATAAATAAAAATTTAAAAAATTAATCATCTTCTCCATTGCCAGCCCAGAGCATAAGAAAGCCACCAATAAATTTTGGTGGGAGAACAAGGCTGAGGCCCAGATGAAAGAGAAATTTCTGATCTCCCCCCAGGATTATGCACGGTAAGTCATTTGTTACGAAAAGATGAATAGCAAAGTGAATCCTCCAGATCCTTGTCAGGCAGGAACATTCCAAGTGGGGTATAATCCCAGGAGTAGGGAGGCTGAGGTAGGATCTCAAGGCCAGCCTGGGCTGTACAGTGAGTTCCAAGGCAGCCTGGACTACAAGTGAGACCTTATCTCAAGACAAATTTGGGAAGTTCAAAGTTAAGTGATGGACACTTACAGTAACAGCACCCAGAGGCTTAATCAGTATGTAGACCAGGCTGGCCTTGAACTCACAGGGATCTGCCTGCCTCTGCCTCCTGAGTGCTGGGATTAAAGGCATATATCACCACACCCTGATGATGAACTCTTTTAAACTTATCTGAAATGATTCCCATGATCCTTATGACTTGGCCTGTCTTCTAAGTAAAATAAGACTATAAACCTGAGTACAGTGGTGCATACCTAATAATCCCAGCACTGAGGAGACTGAGGCAGGAAGATTGGCTCGCTTTGAGACTGGGTCTCACATATAGCCTAGGATGTTCTCAAACTCAAGATCCTCTTGCCTCAGCCTCCTCAATAGTGGTTTAATTTTTATGTGTATAGTGTTATGCCTACATGTATGTAAGTGCACCTCTGTTGTGCAATACAGTACCCTTGGAGGACAGAAGAGAGTGTCAGTTCCCCCTAGAATTTGAACATCAGAGAGTAATGGACTTAAGTATGGTAATGGTATTATGAATGTATAGAATGTTCCTGCTCTCAGATCATGTGAAAATATTTAATGTTAGCTGGGAGTGGTGGTTCACACCTTTAATTACAACACTCAGGAGGCAGAGGCAGGCAGATCATTGTGAAGTTCCAGGCCACCATGGTCTAAATAGCAAATTACATGCTATCTGGGACTACAGGGAGACCCTGTCTCAAAAATACAAAAAAAAAGGTAGGGGGAATACTTAGGGTGTTACGGTTCATGATGCTGGGCTGGAGAGATGGCTCTACTGTGATGAGTGCTTGCTGCTCTTGCAGGGGACCCAAATTCAGTTTCCAGCACCCATGTCATGTGGCTTACAACTACCTGTAACTCTAGCTCCAAAGGATCCAACACTCTCTTCTAGCTTCCATGGACGTAAGCACACATACAGATAAATGGTTAAAAGCACCTGCTGCTCTTGCAAAGGACCTGGGTTCACTTCCCAGCACCTGCATGGTTTGCTTACAACCGTCTGTTAACTCCAGCTCCAGAAGATCCAGTGCCCTCTTCTGGCACCAGGAACATACGCAGTTCATAGACATGCATGTAGGCAAACACTCGTACATATAAAATAAAAAATAGTCAAAAAAAAAAAAAAAAAAAAAACAAAACACAAAAAAAGTCATCTGGCAGCCTTTACCAGTACTCAAGAGGCAGCAGTAGACAGATCTCTGAGAGATGGAGATCAGCCTGCCTGGTCTACATAGCAAGTTCCAGGCCAGCTATCTCAAATAACAACAAAAAGTTAATGATGTCTAAACCCATTTTTGTCTTGGCAAAGGGTGGGCATGTATAAAGGGTAAGTAGTGGAGCCAGCATGGTAAGTGTTAACTGTACATCTGGATGGGAAGACACAGGGATATTTATTTTACCAGTTTTGTTTTTATGAGTTTGAAAATTTTCAAAATTCAGCTGGGCATGGTGACTGACTCCTGTAAGCTCGGCATTCAGGAGGCTGAGGCAGGGCTACTGTAATTTCAAGACTACTCAGGGATGCATACTGAGTTCTGTGCCAGTCTGGGCCATAAAATGAGACCATATGGCAAAAAAAAATTTTCTCAGAATTAAGTTATCTGTTGAAGTACTGGTGGAGCTGCAGTTCTAGGCTGATTTGTCTCTCTTATTTTCAATGTTTTTATAATTCTTTTTTCTTTTTAGGTTTAAGAAATCCATGGTGAAGAGTTTGGATTCCTATGAAGAAAAAGAGGATGAGGTGATTAAAGAGGTAAGAAGGAAAGGGCTCCAAAGCACCCCTCCCCAAGATCCTGAACCTACCTAAGCATCCTCTCTCCCACAGATGGCAGCTCAGATTCGGGAAGTAGAACACAATCGGCAGGAAGTGGTCCAATCTGTCTTAGAGGTTTGTTTCCCTCGGAGGATCCAGAGCAGTATCCAAATCCACTGATCCTTGGCTTCCCGAAGTCCAGCATCTATCTCAACATTGTCAGCTCTTTCAGAGAACTAATGGATCACACATTCATTTGCTTGAATTTCTGTACCTGTCCACCAGGGGGCAGGCCTAGGCAGCAGAGATTGGGCAGGGCTGGGGGTTTGCAACATGGGCAGTATCCTCCATTTGATATCGGGTTTGAATTGGGGGGCACGGCCTAGACAGACTCTTAAGCACCTTCGACACATCTGTTTTTCCTGAATCAAACTCAGCCTCAGGCAGAGCCAGAACCAGAAGAGGGCTCTTCAGCACCTGCAAGCTGGAAAGGGATGAACAGGTAAGGTTATCAAGGAACCTCTTGCTGAGTTGGATGCCTCAGAGCTGCCTGTAACCTTTTGACTGGGAAATGGGAACAGATCTAATCTTTGCCATCCTCGTGGCTCAAGGACCTCATCTGCCAGCCTGGCTCCTATGTCTTTCAGCCAAGTAGCCTCCAGCTCAGAGCATCTTTCACACTTAGACCTGCAACCTACTCCAGAGTTTGACTGGATGGAAACAGGACAACCTCTAACATTCATTGGCCATCAGGTACAAAAGACCTCCTCAGGTCCCAGACCAGCCCTGTTTTGGCATTCTCCCTGTATTAGCTATTCCTATTGTCTCTGCAGGTTTTTTCCCCCTACTACAGTGTTCCTAGACTTTCCCTCATCTTTCAGGGTGATCTTATCCACACCTGCTACCTCTCAGGAGTATCAGCCTCTTTACCTATCCTTGTTAGTACAGGGCACTCATACTTCAGTACCCCACAGGCAACTGAACCCCCTCCCACAACCCGAGTACATTAGATCATTACCCCTCCTTTTCATCTCCCACGTGCCACCAGTAAGTCTACCAGTTTTATCTCCTGTTGCCTGTGTTCTTCATTGTTGGAAGTACAGAATTGGCAGAGTTGTGTTCACCTCCCTTAAACTCAGTTTGCTGTTTAGCTATGAGTATATTATCTCATGGTTTTCTTATCTTGGGTCTTTTTTTTTCTTATTTCCAACACAGGATATACCTGGAGTTGGTAACATCCACTCAGGTAAGTTTCTGAGCAATGTTTCCAAAACTCAGACCATTTTGGTTGACTTGAGTTTCTCTGTAGCTGGCCTGGATCTGAGATCTGCCTGCCTCTGCCTCGAGTGCTAGGATCAAAGATATGTACTGTAGATCAGGCTGGCCTCAGAGATCCACCAGCTTTGATTAAAGGCCTGCCCTACCACACTCAACAGATAAGGTTTCCTGTAATCCAGGTAGCCTTAAACTCTCTATCTCCCAATTGCTGGGATTATAAGTGAACTCCATATCTTATTTTTTTTAGAATAAAGTTAATTAAAATAAAGCACACATTTTATCTATTGAGGATCTGCATCCAGAAGAGATCAAAACTGAGGAGGGATGAAGAGATGGCTCAATGGTCAAAAACACTTGCTACTCTTGCAGGGGACCTGGGTTCACTTCTCAGCACCTACATGATTTGCTTACAACCATCCATTAAACACAGCTTCAGAGGATCCAGCGTCCTCTTCTAGCACCATGAACACATGCAGTTTGTAGACTCATATGTAAAATCTTAAAAAAAATAAAAAATGAAGCTGGGTATGGTGGCAGCCTGTTCTACATAGTGAGTTCCAGACCAGCTGAAGTCAAGACATGGGGAAATGGCTCAGTGGATAAGAGCATTTGCTGTACAAGAATGAGGACCTAAATTCCAATCCTCAGCTCCCATGTAAAATGCAAGGCCTGACTACTGGAGCATTGTGGAACGGGCCTTAAGAGCTCCCTGGATGGCCCCTAGCTGAACAGCAAGCTTCTGGTTCAGTGAGACCTGTCTCAAGGCAATTAACAGCAGAAGACAGCTTGTAGCCTCTGCATGCACAAATAAGTGCATACACATATACCATGTGTATGGGTGTGGGGAGGAAAATAAGGAAACCCAATCGTCTGGGCTGGAGAGATGGCTCAGCAACTAAGAGCACTGACTGCTCTTACAGAGGACCCAGGTTTGATTCCCAGCATGGTGGCTACAAACCATCCTTAACTCCAGTTCCAGGGGAATCCCAAGCCCTCTGCTGACCTCTGTGGCATCACGTGACATGGGTGCACTAATACATGCAGGCAATACACTCATACACATAAAAGTAAAAATAAAATATTTAAAAGTGTAATTGACTCAAGAGTTCCATCAATGCCTGTGCAGTAAGTAGCACACCAGCCCCTCCCCACCCCCACCCCCCAATTTAAAAAAAGGACATCATAGGTTGTATTGTGTAAGAGCCTTCTGTTTCCCAAGCTCCAGAATTCCTGGGTTCTTTAGTTTTGATGTTTCTAGTGCTCAGGTGGGGAAGTTAGCAGAGAAGCCCATGCCCCCACAACACTGCTTTAATTTCTGATCTTTTTCTAGGTGCCACACCTCCCTGGATGATTCAAGATGAGGAAGAGAGCTCTGGAAACCTACCAATAGGACCTTCCTATGAAGAATTCCTTAAAGAAAGTAAGTAAATTATCTCAAGGGCAGAGAAGTTACAGATCTTCACATGCAAAGCAATTCTCCAAGCTGGGTGCAATGGCCTGTCCTGTGTCTATCATCTGAGCTAGAACTGCTTAAAATTCAGGGCCACTCAAGAATACCTATTTTTTACAGAGGAAAAACAAAAACTGAAAAAGCTTCCCCCAGAGAGAGTTGGTGCCAACTTTGACCACAACTCCAGCACCAGTGCAGGCTGGTTGCCCTCTTTTGGCAGAGTCTGGAATAATGGACGCCGCTGGCAGTCCAGGTATAATCAGCACCAAGACCACCTTCTGTAGAGAATTTCATACATCCTGCTAACTCTTCCATTTCCTTTTAGGCATCAATTCAAAACTGAAGCGGCATCAAGGAACAAAAAAGGAAAAAGCTGAAGGTTCCCAGCCTGATGCTCTTCTGATACAAGGTTCAGAAAGACACCCAAGAAAAAAAGTATCCATTCATTTGATTTAATAAAGTTTTATTTTTCCAAATGTACAGTTGATTGAACCTGCCCAAAAAAAACAAAACAAAATAAATGTCAGAATCAGGGCACCATCAAGGCAATGGACAACACTTTCCACAGTACAAGTCCTTGGGTTCTTACCTATTTAGGCATCTTCACCAGCAGCTGGGGCATCGCCACCCTTTGTGTTTCTGGTGTAAATTACTTGGGCTCTGTGTTTTGAAACCAGTTTGATAAGTCCTGAAGAGAGAAAGATTTTCATAGAGCCAATGCTCTAAGTTTCCACCTTTTCCCAAAACAGAATTGCTTAAGAGACAATAACCTGCTCCCTCCTGCTGTGGCTAAGAGACTTCAGCTGTGGTGTTAATTTTTGAGAAAGGGTCTCACTTTGTAGCCTAGCCCATGCTGTTCTACCTTAACCTCTTATGTGCTGAGATTACAGGTATTAACCACCACACCATTTAGCTCTTGGTAAAATTTATATTACAGGCCTGTAGCAGGAGGCCCACAACACAGGCCCATTAGCTGATCTTAAGATTTACTATAAATTTAGTAAGTGCAGTCATTAGCATGCCACCGTGTTGTGGTCTAAGAGAACTTTTAGTGTTTCAGCTTCTACTCAGCCATGATCTCATTTCTGCCCCTGCACAGCAATACTCCAGGAGGGCTGGTCTTGAGCCCAATTCTAATCTCCAACTACCAACAAAGGAATGCTGGGATTAGCACCACATTCTTTTTTCTTAATTTTATGTGTATGAGTGTATTGCCTGCACATATGTGAGTGCACCCGTGTCATGCAATGCCAGGGAGGTCAGAAGAGAGCTTTGGATACCCCAGGAACTGGAGTTAAGGACAGTTTGTAGCCACCATGCTGGGAACCAAACCCGGGTCCTCTGCAAGAGCAGTCAGTGCTCTTAAATGCTGGGCCATCTCTCCAGTCCCACATTGGGCTTTTTTAAATGGGAGTTTCATGGAGACCAGACTTGAATGGCAAGCACCTTTTTTTAAATATTATTTTATGTGTGTGTATTGCCTGCATGTAGGTAAGTGCGCCTGTGTCATGCAATGCCTGAGGAGGACAGAAGAGACTGTCGGAACTGGAGTTACAGACAGGAACAGTTGTTAGCTGCCATGTGGGTGCTGGGATTCAAACCCAGGTCTTCTGCAAGAAAAACCAGTGTTCTTAACTGCTGAGCCATCTCTCCAGCCCCAGGCAAGCATTTTTTAACCTGAGGCATCTTCCTGGCCCACATTTAAAGATTTTTTTTATGTGTATGGGCATTTGCTTTTATGTATGCATGCACACCACACATATGCCCTGTTGCCTGCAGAGGCCCAAGAATGGGCAATTTAATTCTCACTAACAAAACTCAATTATGACACAGATCCCCTCCATCACTTGATCCAATGTCTTTGTGAGCCACCTGATGTGGGTAAAGCTAATGGAATGAAATCCTCTACAAGAGCAGTATGGGCACTTATCCACTGAGCCATCTCTCCAACCCCACCATATTTTTTTCTTTGGTCTTTTTTGTTTTGTTTTTGAGACAGGGTCTCTCTGTAGCCACAGCTGTCCTAGAACTCACTATGTACACCAGGCTAGCATCGAACTCACAAAGATCCACCTGCCTCTGCCTCCCAAGTGCTGGGATTAAAGGCATGTGCCACCATGCCCGGCTTTTCTTTGGTCTTTTTGAGACAGCGTCTTCCTGTAGCCACAGCTGGCCTGGAACTCAGAGAGGTGCCCACCTCCCAAGTACTGAGATTAAAGATGAGCACGCCCATTTAGTATCTTTATTCTGTGTGTATGTGTGTATTGCTTGCATGTACTTAAGTGCAGTGTTGTACAATGCCTGTGGAGGCCAGAAGAGTGTCAAATCCCCTGTAACTGGAACTACAGGCAGCTCTTAAGCACCACATGGGTGCTAGGAATTGAACCCAGGTACTCTGCAAGAGCAATGGCTGCTCTTAACCACTGAGACCTCTCTCTAGCCCCTAAAGACTATTTTAGGGCTGGAGAGATAGCTCAGCAGTGAAGAGCACAAACACTGGTTCAACAATGGGCAGCTCAAGAGATCTTGATACCTCTTCTGGCTTCTGTGGGTAAGCAGACCCACCCACACACAGGGTACTCAATGCCTTCTTCTGTCCTCTATGGATGGGAGCACTTAAATACATGCAGGCAAAACACTCATACACATAAAAATTTTAAAAATTAAAAAGCACCAGGCATGATGCCGTTATCTTGTAATCCTAGCACTGTGAAGTGTAAGGTGCATCCAGAATTCAAGATCAACCTCAGCAACTAACATTTGTTTTTTGAAGAAAGGGGTTTCCCTGTAGCCCCAGGTTATAACTCACTGCGCTTGATCTCATAGAGATGGACCTGCCTCTGCTGGGATTAAAGGAATGTGACACCAGGCCTGACCCAATAACCATATTTTAAAAAAGCAACAGTGACTTCCTCTAGTTCTGTCATTTATTCACTTAAAGGGTCCTTGTGCATTACTGAGTCGTCAAAGGGATCTATGGCACTAAAGTGACAATTCTTGTTTTCACATTTGAGAAAACATTAACAGCCAATTGGATCAGTCCATGCTCTCCCCCTTAAAAATTTCCTTAGTAATACAACCAAGGCAATTTAACCGTAAAAGCATCCAGCACATCCCTCACCTTTACTAAGGAGCTCCTGAAGGGCTGCCCTGGCCAGGGAACCTCGAATCTTCAGTCTCTCAGAGACCACGGCTGGGGTAATAAGTTTATAGTTGGGAACTTCCTTACAGAGTTTGTCGTATGTAGCCTTGTCAAACAGGACCAGGTTGTTGAGCTTGTCCCGAACTTTGCCTTTGGACCACTTCTGCTCACAAAGACAAAAAGGAGCACTAGTCAGGAATACTGGCTGGCAGAAGCGTCTTTTCCCTCCCAATCAACGCACGACCGAGAAACCCCTTCTGTTGTTATCGTGGTTTAAGTTATAAACTGCAGAGGAAAAGACATCGGAGGAAATCCTACAGAACTGTGAGGATATGCTATGAGAACTGGATTAAAAGCATTACACGGTTCTTTCCAAAGCTCTAAGGGAATGTATACCCCGTATCCTTCGAATGAAAACAAAAAACGACAAATGAGCAGCGCTCGACGCAGGAAGTTAACAGTCTGATTCTGGAATTCACGATGTGAAAAATCACCGCACAGGCTTAGACATCATGAGGGCTACGCCGAGGGCGTCCCAGAATCCTCTTACAGAAGAGTACCCCTTACCTTCTTTTTGGCCTTGCCCCCAGACTTGTTTACTGGGTCCTTGTCTTTCTTAGCCGATTTCCCGGCGTCCTTCTTCTTCTTGTCGTCCTTGGGCGGCTGCAGGAGAGCAGGGGTGCAAGTAGGTCAGAGTGGCGCCATGCTCCCCTCTGCCGGAGCACATGGGAAGGCAACGCCCGCGCCTGAGCAGAGAACCGGCGCCGCCGCGCACGAAGCGCTCTCCCCGGAGCTCCCCACCGCCCCGAACCCCGCCGTGACCCTGGAACCCCGCCGTCCACACCAGAGAGCCTCACCATGGCGAAGCTCCGAGAGCAGTGGTAACCACTACAGCCTCGCTAAGATGTCGGATAAAAAGGAAGTGCTGCTCCCCGAGAGAACCAGAACCCGCCGCCTCAGGCGAGTACTTCCGGGGCAAGAGGCGGAGCCACGCCGACACTGATTGCCGTCGGGGCGGGGCGGGGCTTCAAATGACCACGCCCCCGACCGGTAGTTTAATGGATCTGCATCTCGGAGGCTTGGGCCTGTGCGCATGCGTCCCAGGCGGCGGGCGGGGTCTGGGAGGAGCGTGCGGGTTGGGGACCTGTGACGTCATTCGGGGCGGGAAGAACTGCGGAAGAGGCAGGATTGCAGCGTCAGAGCGGCTTCGCAGCAATGGCGATTTTCAGTGTTTATGTGGTGAATAAGGCGGGCGGCTTGATTTACCAGCTGGACAGCTATGCGCCCCGGGCTGAAGCCGAGAAAACGTTTAGTTACCCACTGGACCTGCTGCTGAAATTGCACGACGAGCGAGTGCTGGTAGCCTTCGGCCAGCGCGACGGCATCCGGGGTAGGTTGGGCTGGCCTCGGGGCGGGGCCGCGGAAGTGGGCTGGGGCTGTGAAGGTGCGCGGTGGGGGAGATGGAGACTGGGATGTGCGTGAAATGGGGTAGTCAGGTGAGAATGAAAAGGAGGATGGGAGTGAAGTGGGGGGAATGAAGGGGTGGGAGTGCAGTGAAGTGGGGGATGGGAGTGAAGTGGGGGAATGAAAGGGGTGGGAGTGGAGGATTGGAATGGAGTGGGGGGAATGCAGAAGGGAGTGGGAGTGAAAGGGGCAGGTCACAGGCTGGAGTTTCTCTCACTGTAGTCTCTCTGTAGTGGGCCATGCGGTGCTGGCCATCAATGGCACGGATGTGAATGGCAAGTACACAGCCGACGGGAAGGAAGTGCTGGAGTATCTGGGTAACCCTGCTAATTACCCGGTGTCCATTCGTTTCGGCCGGCCCCGCCTCACCTCCAATGAGAAGCTCATGCTGGCCTCCATGTTCCACTCGTAAGTAGCCCACTCCTCTTTTTCTTTCTTTTTTTGGCAATACTGGGCATCAAGACAGGTCCTGTGTATTTTGACAATCTTTCTGTAACTGAACAATATCCACAGCTCCTTCCTCAACCCATCCTAGTTTACCTGTCCGTGTACTAACAGTCTTTTTATATCTCTTAAGTGCTTAGTTGTATTGTTATGAGAAAAGGACCTATCGAGTAGATTGGGTAGTATTGATCTTGCCTAATTGGACTTCTCTGAGCTCTAGTTTCTTCATCTTTAAGGCACTTGAATTAAATGTCCTTTCAGCCTTTTCCAGCTCCTGTGTATGAGATGTGTTGGCATAGGTCTAGCCATGAGCTAAGCAAGCATGCACACATTACTCAGAATGTTATTTTTACCCAGTGTTTAACAGTAAAATGTATTCCAAAGTTGGGGCTGGGGCAGGGCATGGTGGGGCACACTTTTAATCATAGCACTTGGACCCCAGAGGCAGGCAAATCAAGGCCAACCTGGTCTACGTAGTGAGTTCCAGGCCAACTGGGACTATAGAGACTTTTGTCTCAAAAAAAAAAAAAAAAAAGTTTGAGGGGCTAGAGAGGTAGCTCAATGGTTAAGAACACTGACTGTTCTCACAGAAGACTGGGGTTCAAGTCCCAGCACCCACATGGCGGCTAACAACTGTCCATAATTCCAGTTCCAGGGGAATATGACTCCCCCTTCTGACCTCCATGGGCATTGCACAACACACAGATGCACTCACACACAAGTAGGCAATACACATAAAATAAAAATAATAAATTTAGCCAGGTGTGGTGGCACATGCCTTTAATCCCAGCACTTGGGTGGCAGAGGCACGAGGATCTCTGAGTTTAAGGCCAGCCTAGTCTACATAGTGAGTTCCAGGACAGCTGGGGCTACAGGGAGACCCTGTCTCAAAAAAAATTTAAAAATTAAACTTAGAGCAGGGTATGGTGGTACACGCCTTTAATCCCAGCAATCGGGAGGCAGAGGCAGGTGGATCAGCCTGGTCTCCATAGCAAACCCAGGCCAGCTGTGGCTACAGGGAAACCCCATCTCAAAAAGACCAAAAAGAAAAAAAAATTTAGAATATTTTAAATGTATGCCAAAGTCAAAGGAATTTAAAACACATTTTGACACTGCTGCTAGGCAGTTCATACTTCTTCCTGCTCACACTACTTCTTCCTGACTATCCCAGACTATAAAGCAAACTCTTCAGAAGGTAGGGCACTTCACTAGAAAGTTGGAAAAGCACATTTCTCTGACAGCATTAGGTACATTCCTAGCTTTGCCTTCTTTGCATACAGGCTCTTTGCCATTGGTTCCCAGCTGTCTCCAGAACAGGGAAGTTCAGGCATTGAGATGCTGGAAACGGACACATTCAAACTACACTGCTTCCAGACACTGACAGGTATGTGTCTCTAGAGAAGTGAAGGGGATAGCCGGGGCAGGTAAGACCAAGGGATTGACTAGAAGACAGCTTTGGAAACAAGGATAGAGGTGGTGTCGGGTTTTCCTGGGACAGTTGTACAAACACATCTATTTGTTTTGTGACTCCAAAATCAGTATTTAATCAGAGGCTGATTTTGTTAATGTCACCCAGCATTCTCAGAACTGATTATCTTGGGTTTGGATAAAATCTACCTTAATGTTAAGTTTCACACATTTTGGAAGGTGTGTTATTCCGAAATGAAATACGAAAGCCAAATAGAAATGGCCTTTGGATCCTTAGTATCATTGCTTCACTCCCTTGATGCAGATAACTGAAACAGCTTGGCACTGTTTCTTCTGAGGGACTCCAAGACTGAACATAATCAACAGACAGAGCTAGACTTCAAGTCTGGTCACTAAGTCATCTGTTAAAGTCACTACATTTCTCTAGTCCCCAGTACTCTGCTTAACAGTGAGGATAAAATTAAATTGGCTTAGGAAAGAACTCCACAACATTGAAAGTACTGCAGAAATAGAATGACATTTGCTGCATTCTCTGTCCTTGGGTAACCATTCCTGGCTTCTCTCCAGGGATCAAGTTTGTGGTCCTGGCAGATCCTAGGCAGGCTGGAATAGATTCTCTCCTCCGAAAGATTTATGAGATTTACTCAGACTTTGCCCTCAAGAATCCATTCTACTCCTTGGAAATGCCTATCAGGTAGGTGGCCCCATTTAAGTGAAGACAACAATGACTAGTCCTTTTTATCTTGAGAACACAGGGTTTCCTTGGGGTTCATGTCTTTCCAGTGGCATTTGTACTGATTCTGTCTCTCCCCCAGAGACAAAAAGCCTCTCACATCTCACACTTTGTCTTCTGGGTCTGGCCTAGGTGTGAGCTGTTTGACCAAAACCTGAAGCTAGCTCTGGAAGTCGCAGAGAAAGCTGGGACTTTTGGACCAGGGTCATAGGCTGAACCTGAAATGGACTCCCTGAATCTTGAGAGGTTCTGCAGCAGGGTTCCACTGCTATTTCTGCTCCAGTGAGGATCCTGTTGCAGCAGCTGTGTACTTGAACCTGGTAAGAGGGACTCATCCCTGAGCCAGATGCCATAATGTCTTCCTTCTGTATATATCATAGTTTGACTTCCCCACTCTGTACAGATTTATTTATGGAGGAAGTTGGCCTATAATGTGTTAATAAACATTCTTCTAGTATGTGCTGTCCTAACTGATGGTTTAGGAGAGGAGAAAGGCATTGGAGGGGGGGGAGGCACTGGAAAGGTAATGGATTCTGGGAAGGTGGGGTACTATGTTTTGGTAAAAAAAAAAAACAAAATAAATAGTGAACATAACAATTTGACCCGTGAGCCTTGGATCTGGTCCCAGAATTACTGCTGATTTCTTGGGAGCCTGAGGAAGAGGAGATGGTGATAGTGATGGTGGAACACTTACCCAGCCCTTGGAGCAAGGCTTTAGTGCTTTAGATCACTTAATCTGCACTCTAACCCAGGAGGTAGATTCTATTACAGACAAATCTAGCAAAGTACAAAATCTCTGTGCTTCAAAGTCCTCAAGCCAGTTACTTGACAGCCTGAGTTTGGACCTTTGCTTTCTATCAGTAAACCACTGTCACACTGACCCCTCTTGTCAAGTTATTTAACATGCCTACAACCCAGAACTATACAGTGTTCAGCTGAATGCTGAGCTTGCACTTAGAGGTTCCATCTAATACTTAGCTGTCTCACCCCAGAGAAATGAAGTCTTTCCCTTTGGGGATAGAAAGAGCAGATACTGATAGATACTAATAATTTCCCAAGGAAAGGTGTCTAGAGCTTGCATTAGCCCCTTGAAAGGATAAGTCACTGACTGTTTAGTATCAAATCTAGTTTTATAATCTATAACAAGGCTTCTGCTTACCCCCCATATTCTCCCCTACTGTCGGGGTACTGATGAGAGTGGCCCCCTCTCTTTCCTTAGAGACTGAGGTATTGGCAATAGCTTTGCCCCCTGCCAAGAGGCCTTAGGATACAGCAGAAACCGAAGGTCATTAATATTCTGAAGTTGATGAGACAGGTTTACCTCAGGAGGAGATGGATAGGTTGGGGACTGGACAGGCCCAGGTCAGGAGAGGGCACAGGAGATACCCTGACTGCAGGAACTGGGTTGGTTTGTTTGTTGTTGTTTTTTGTTTTTTGCTTGAAGGTAGAAAGAGTAGCTGATGGGAGTCCAAAAACAAACACTATCACTTAAATAGAGCATAGGATGGGAGCTGGGACTTCATTAGCCACTAATGACTTGCAGCACCATTTGTGGCCAGGGGGAGGTGCAGACATGAAGCACAGGTTCCAGTTGAAGGTTTTGTGCTAGCCAGAGCAGCCCCTTCCCTTTCTGTACTGTACTAGGGAAGAGGCAGGTAGGGATGCTCCATAGTGGGGACTCTCTTCACTCAGACTTCTTGGGTATTCGGCCCATCTTGGTGCAGATGTTTCGAAGCAAGAAGAAGACAACTGTGCTGGCACCACAAATCATCTCTGCCACGAGGAAGGCTGTGCTCCAGCTATAGTGCTTGGCGATGGTGCTGAAGGGTAGCCCAGCCAGAAAGCCGCCCACTGCCAGAGAGGAGGGGAACAACCTGAGCCACACATGAGGATAAAGCAAGTGGGCTGGTCTTGCCTCTAGCAGCCTGCCAAGACACAGTGAGGGAAGGCAGCTTGTCCAAAAGGTACTACTTACCATTGGCCATGAGTCCCACAATGGCATGAGAGGTGCCACACAAGTTGGGAGGAGCACTCTCATTGGCTATGACTCCAAATAAGGCAATGGGACCATAAGAAGAAAATCCAAACACAGCTCCCAACACAAGGATCCAGATCTGAATGGACAATGGGGTGGCATTCAGAATTGGAAAGTCTACCTACCTGCCTGCCCACCACTGCCTAAGGAGAAGAGTACCTGGCCCTCAGGAACAAACTAGTCAAAAGAACCTCACCCCTCCCCAATAGAACTAACAATACGGATGCTGAACCAACACAAGGGCCTAGTGGGTACAGTCATCTCTCTGAGTTAGATGCTGGCTGTTTCAGAATTTGTGCAAGTTGAGATGGTTAGGGGTAAAGCAAAGGGATAGGACAAAAGTGAGACAAACCAGGAGGAAAATCATATCTTTAAGGCACCTCATGCTCCGTAAAGCCTGTGAACTCAGCAAAAGGGTAGAGAGCTGGAGTCCAGAAAGTCCAAACATCCTAGAGGCAGAGGAGAGAGAAGAAAACCATGCCCAGAGTGGAGAGGGACACAGAGTACAGAAGAAAGTAAGGTACAAACAAAACTGCAGAAAGAAGGTACTGAGGGCAGGGGTCTTGCTTTCTCTCCTTGTACTTTGCAGTCAGCCAGGCTATTTACCTTGGGCGAGCCACTGGTCACTGTTACCCGGAACAGGTACATGGACCCAGTCATACCAGCCATCATGAACAGCAACAGGCCATGGCGAGGGTTTCCATACATAGATGGCCCCACCTATGGGTACAGTCTGAGTCATGTCAGGGCCTCAGAGCAGGGCAAAACACCCCCACCCCTGGACTCTGACACAGCAAAGCCACTGCTCACAGGTCTTTGGCAATCCCATCACAGCTTTTGGCCCTAGACAGCTCTGGAGGCCCTGGGAGCTGCTCCGTGTTCTAAGGCCAAATTCCACAACATCCCTTCCTCCACCTTGGAGCAGGCATGGGACACGTGCTGGGGAGCTGTACCTGGTCCACTGCTACCACAGTTTTCCTGGGGTAGTGGGGAAGCCTCCTGACCAGGCTGAAAGAGATTCTGGCTGTCCTTGCCATCAGTTAAAACGCCTCATCAGCCTTATCTCTGCATCTCTAAGGCACCTGGAATCATTCCCACCTCACCCAGCCTCAACCTGCTATGCCAACCAACCCATGTGCCAGGACTCTCCACTGTCTGTCCCAGCCACGCAAGAAAGACTCAAAGGGCCTTTCTCCTTGCAATCTTGCTGCCCACTCACCTTTGCCATTGCCCGGTCTGACAGGTAGCCTGCTGCAATACTGCCTACAAGACCCCCAACCTCCACTGCACTCATGTAGGAACTACCTGCATGGGAAGTTGTGGGAAGCAGGAAGTGAAAGGAAGAATTAAAGGATGTTTCTCAATGGGATTGTCCCATGACTTAAACCCCCACCCCAAGGGTGCTCATCCCCTGCATTAGTTCCTGCTGCTTATACCCATACCTGTCCCAACACTGATCTTACCCATAAGGGCGGAGTGTCCTTTCTCCTGGATGAGGAAGAATTGGCCCCAGTCTGTACAACAGGTCTTTACTCCAAAGACCACAAGGTAGCCAGTGGAAAGTACCCATAGATAGGGAGACAGCAGCAGCTCTTGTAGGGTGCTCTCTTCCTTCAGTGAACCTGGAGGTGGGAAGAAGCCAAGTAGAACTCAGGCTGAGCTCCTGCTGCCCTGTCCCCACTAAACCCCCACCCCACCGTTCATTAACCAGCCCTACGGGTAGAGTCCATGGGCACAATTGGATTGGTGTGAAGGGTATCCCCTCAAGCCCTGCTGTTCCCTCCCTGCTACAATGCCTCAGGAAGTAAAAGAAACTGAGGACTGGGGTACCCAAACCACTTAAACCTTGGAGATCTCCAGAACAGAGGTCTGGGCTACCATAAGAAAGCCCAGGTTATAACATGTATCTCAATACCTGCTGGCTCTCTGGCTCTTGGAATAAAATTTTACTTCTTTCCCACCCAACCTCTCCTTCCTCTATGTCCATTGGCTAGCACAGGACAAGGCATAGGCTAGTCCTAACAAAATTCTGCCAAATGAAGGGTGAATGAAGGTGCCCCAGTGGTCAGCTTGATAGAGACTCACCCTTCTTCTCCTTGGCAGGGGTAGGGCCCAGGTTATGGAGTCCAACATCTGCAGGTTCATTGTGAATGAGCAGCAGACAGAGAAAGGAAACAACTACGCACAGTGTCCCAGACAGGGCCAGTGTGCTGCGCCAGCTGTAGCTCTGGGCAAGGACAGTTGCCAGGATAGGGCCCAGCCCTCCAGCCAGGTTCATGCTGGTTGACAGCACAGCCCACCAAGTACCAAATTGGGATGGCTCAAACCACTGTGAAGCAGAAAGGGGCAGAATAGGTGCCTGGCCTACAGCGCATATTGAGGGAGGGGCTCAAGTTAGGCCTACCCAGAGGTTTACATTACAGGGATGAGGGAGAAGGTGCTTCTACTTGGCAGGGTCAATTCCCTCTGCCACCTGATCCCACCACCACTCTCAGGCTCCTAAAATATCTTGACAAGGAGGAGCTGGCAGGAAACCCCTGGGAAACCTACTGTAGGCTAGGGATGGAGGGGGTGGGTAAGAAGGGGTGCTCCCAAATGTTCATTAAGTACCCCTGCCAATCCAGACATGCTTGTTGGATGCACTCACCTTCCGTAGAATCTTCCCACAAGGGGGCCAGCCCAGCCCCTGTGCCAGGCCATTAAGAAACCAGAGAGCGGCAAAGACTGGTACTGTGGAGCTCCAAGAAAAGACTACGTTGACTAGGCCGACCAGGAGCAGCCCAGAGGAGAAGAGCCAGCGAGCACTCAACTGGTCAGACAGCACCCCGCTCACAAACTTGCTGATGGCATAGGCTGCCGACTGACTGCTGGCGATGAGCCCTGCAGCAGAGGGGAGCAGGGAGCAGGACACCTGAGGGGTTAGGGGCAAGGCAGAGGCACAGGAGGGGTGGAGGAAGGCAAGGGGTCAGGTGTGTACAGGTGCCTGACAGGGTGAAGCAGGGTCCTTCCCAGAGGAACAGGAGGACCTATTCTGCAGATTTGACACTCTGCTGTCTGCCAAACCATGTACTAGGCCCAGGCTGACCTGTGACTTTTCAGTCTCTTGGAGAGTTCTAACTGCAGCTGTCTGAACAAGAAGGAACATGTTCCCCTCCCTGGTGTTGCATTTGCCTGAGTTCCCATCTCACTGTATACCAACCCAAGGCCTCTAGAAGTTCTGTTGCCCCACCATGTCCAAACATGGTGTGAAGGGTTCTAGGTTAGTCAAAGATCTTAATTCTCATAGAGGGTAGCATGCCAAGCCACATCAAATTATGACAGCAATTTTCAGTGCTCACACAGTCACCTTTATGCTCCAAATGCACCAGAACCTTGCTAAGAAACCCCCACACACACATACACACTCAGTACCTCCAGGTCATATGTGGGTCACAGGCATGTACACACCAGAAAAGCAGCCTCAGTTCTTCATCCACACCCATCCACATGGGTCTCAGCCTCTGTATCTGTTACATGCTGGCCCCATCCCTGCTGTGCAGCCCCTCCATGCATACTTCATGCCTGCACATACCACACTGCCTAATCTGTACCACCCTACCCTTCCAGGGCTCACCCAGATCATCCTTGTCCAGAGGGATCTCCTCCACCAAGGATGGCATGACAAAGGAAAAGGTCTTTCGGTTGAAGTAGTACAGGCTGTAGCCCCCAAACATGGCTGTAAAGATGACAGTGCGGTAATAGCCGTAGCCTTGGACTGCCATGGCAGAAGAGAGCAGGCCCCTCCGGGCAGGTCACAGTGCTTCTGACCACAGTCCCTTGACTGTTCCTGCTTGCAGCTCTCTCAGTGCCCAGATCTGCTGAGCTGTTTTTTCTGCTTCCTCCTCCACCCAGGCTCTCTTTATAGCTGCCTTCTGGACAATCATTAAGCTTGGGATGGCAGCTAGAGAACCCAGTGTCCTGAGGCAGACAAGAAAACAAGAGATTACTGAGAGCCAAACTATGAGAGGGTGGAGGAGGTTCAGAGGGAGGCATCCTGTGAGCCAGATCAGCACCCTGTGTCCCCAGGATTTCTGCCTTTCCTTCCTTTTCCATGTCCTCCTGGCAGTGAAACAAGCTGTGATTAAAGGTTCAGCCTAATTACTTTTGTCTACTTGAGCCCAGGGGAGACTGGGATAGAATGAGCACCACCAACCTCTCTCTCTAGCCGGGCTTCCTCAGTCACTGAACCCCATTCACTCAGGAGTTTGTTGAAGGGTTCCTGGTTATCACAAAAGGCACTAGATTGGTTGTTGCACTCGTCTCTCAATCAGCCTCACACCCTAATAACCCCAACTCCAAGCCTTCTAGAGCTGACCTCACCCAGTGCTTAGCACACTGTCGGTGTAACTTTCCTGATACAGTAGACCTCCAACATCGGGAAAACATTCCATGACCCCCCTCAAGATAGTAGTGAACACTGTATACACTTTCCTTATACACAAGTATAAAACTTAAATTTATACATTAGGCACAGTAAGGAATTAATAAAAATTATAACAATGCACCATAATAAAAGCTACTTAAAGCCTATTATTAGTTGTTGATTTCTGGAATTTAATATTTTCCCACAGTGGCTGGCCTGGCCTCGGTCACTGCAATGTTCGAAGATAAACCGTAGATGAGAGGGGGCTGCTGAAGCTTAGCTGACGCAATTCCCCCAGCTTTGCCCCCTAGTGCCTGGCAGAAAGCGCCGAGGGCTGAGGTCTGTATGGGGACCCTCGGAGCTGCCTCTAAGTTCCTATTACCCTGCGACGTCAGTCGGGCTTCCGTCCTGCGGGGCTGGGCAGGGGCCTGAGCGGCAGGTGGGCAGGACCGGGCATGGGCAGCTTCCCAGCACCCGGCAGCATGCCGCGGCTTTCCGTTCAGCTGCACCGCCACTGGAGCAAAAGGCGGGGCGCAAGCATGGCCGGCGACCGCACGTACCCCCGGGGGCCCCTAGCTACCGCGGGCCAAGGCTCGCCTGGAAGGACAGCCGGTCGACGCCGCTCGGCACCTGCCCAGCACCTGGTGTCCTCAAGCCACCCGGGACACCCAACTCCGAGCCTGAGAAGCACCAGCCTAGGGCAGAAGCCGAGAGCGGCGGAGATCGCGGGACTGGACACAGAAAAGCTGCGCCTGCGCGGTCCCCAGCCCCTGGAACAGTCCCCATGCCGGAAGGGCAATCACAGGTACAGCCCCGGGTGCTGTCGGAAGTCAGGGTTCGCCGTGAGACGATCCCGAAGCCCAGAGACTCGCCCTTCGCCCCGCCCTCGCTGACGCCCCTCCCTCTCCGGTGCCCCTAACCTGGACGAAGGCGGGAACTCAACTACGGTGGGGCGGAGCCGGCCGGAGGCTGGTGCGCACGCGCACAAGGTGGGCGGGGCCTCTATCTTGCTGCTGACTCAAGACCGCCCAGGGAGAGGCAGGCTTCATCCTACCCACACGCTGCTCCTTGAGTGAGGACAGTGCCGCCTAGAGGCTGAGCATCAAATGTCTCCTTTCCACAAACCAGCTTCTATGAAATGCCTACCACTGCCCTACACATTCAGAAAACCAGAGGTACTCACTGTGTGCAAATTGTTAGTCTGAGAAAAGGCTTGTAGGGACGTATATGTTATGTAAGAAATAAGTGCAGTCAGCACAATTTGGAATTTTAAAAGAGTTAAGGCTGATGGGAGCAGAGATAAACCAATATATCCCTAGTATTTAAAGGACAGGACCCTGAGGGAACCTCAGGTTCTTTTGGTTTTTTTAATGCGCATGTGTATATGTGTTTGTATGTGTGTGTGTAGTATGTGTGCACGAGAGAGAGCATGTGTGCGTAGAGGCCAGAGGACAGTCTCCAGAGTCATCCTCCACAACACCAGCTACCTACTTTGAGACAGGGCTCTCATTGGCCTGGAGCTCATCAATTAGTCTAGACACCACACCCATTTTCTTTATTTTTTTCTGTTTGATTTTTTTTGTTTTTGTTGGTTGTTTTTGAGACATAGTCTCCTTGTAGCCCTAGCTAGCCTGGAATTTGCTAGGAGACCAAGTTGACCTTGATCTTAGTGCTAGGAAAAAAGACTTTTTTTCTTCATTTACATGGGTGCTGAGAATGAAATTTAGGTTTTATGCTTGCACTTTACAGACTAAACCATCCAGATGATCCTCCTGCCTCTCCCACCTACAGGCATGCCATCACACGGAACTTGGACACAGTAGATTCTTTTTTTGTTGTTCTTTTTGAGACAGGGTCTCTCTGTAGCCCCAGCTGTCCTGAAACTCACTGTGTATACCAGGCTGGCCTTGAACTCACAGAGATCTGCCTGCCTCTGCCTCCCAAGTGCTGGAGTTAAAGGTATGCACCACCACACCCAGCTTGGACCCAGTAGATTCTAACAATGACTTCAGCAATCCATCAAGTGTCAGCTAATGAAATGGCATAACCAACTCAATTTTGTTTTAACTGACTTTTGATTTACCCTGTGTTTCTGCCTATTTGACACCTCGCATGTGTCAGACAGCTGCCGGTGCCAGCCGGCCAAAACGGACAGTACCTGAAAGGGGGAGTGAGGATTGAAAGAAAGGAAAGGAGACAGAAAAGACGCTTCTTGGGAGGGCTCACAGTGAATACTGCCAGCCTCTATTTATTTTAGTTCTGTCTTTTTATACAGAAGAACTCAATTAGTTACAATTGCTGTATTTCCCCACCTGTATCTGAGGGTCAGGGAGTGGTCAGATCAAAGGCTTCTTGGATCCTTTTGTTTACCACTAATGGCTCAAGGTCAGGTATTGTGAGGCTCTCCAGAAAACTTCTTCCTCCTGAATGGGCAGGTTAAGTACTGGTTTGCATGACACAAACTCAGTAAATGAGGCTGCCAACAGCTCAATGATTAGCGGCTCCCGACATATCCCCCTTCCTTATTTAATTTTAAAACCCCAGATTATGCCTATCTGTGACAGAAGGACCATGCCTGCCTTAGGTTGTCTTCTGCCAGAGCAAAGCCTTACCAGTCATCGGCACATAGCTTCCATCAGGTACGCCCTGTCTTAGGTTGACTTTCTCCCAGAAGAGCTTACCCATCTTTGACTACCAGCCTCTGTTAGGGGAGGGAGCTCAATCTCATGTGATGCACAGCTGCCTTGTCTTGCC